GATGTTGAAATCTAGGAAAACATAAAAATGATATAAACAATAGACATCTATCATGATAATCAATAGTGGTGGCTAGTGATGATGGATGACAATCAATGATGATGATCAATAGTGATAGTCGATAGTAGTGGTCAATTGTAATAACTAGCATGGATCTATAGTAACATCAATGACGGGTAGAGGCTAGTGGAAGTTGGTGACGATAAGTGGTGTTAGTAATGGTGTGCTCTAACATCAAGGCTACTTCACTTGAAATAATTCACTTGGTCAAATGACAAAACTTTCAACCTGAACAAACACTGCAGAATTTCTAAGACAACGAGCAAATTGCAAACAGTAAAACTTACCTCATATTGAAGCTTTTTGTTCATCCCATTTTAAGAAATAACATCCAGATATAAATCGTCATGTTACAATTTACATTCAAATCAATCCATTGCAAAATCGTCTAAGGAAACCAAATCTTAACCACTCTTATCCGATTTCATCCGTATTCATATTTGATATGCTTAAACTCTGCTTAAACTTGGTTAACTCATAATGAGTTTTTTCCGGTTTAATTTGCTCACCGTTAAGAGAATTCTTTTTTCGATGAAAAAAAAAGTTTAGGTTAATAAAGATGAATTCTTGTTAGTTTACTTTTTCTTTGTTTATTGATTATTGATATGTCGTATATGTATTTCAAATTTCACTAGTTACACTGAATACAAAATTAGAATTATTAGTGTTGTATTTCAATAGTTAATGAAATGAAATTTGATTTTTTTAAAAAAAATCATTAAAGCAAAACGTCATGATATAATTATAAGAAAAAAAAGATATTTTAGTGTATGTTTGCAAACTCGCTAATCCTGATTAAAATCATGTTTTGACTAGAACAATGTCAGAGTAGCTTTGTCTTGAAAATTATAGAAACATTTTTCAAGGATTTTTTAAACATAAATGGAGAGATCGGAATTTGAGATAAAAATTCAAAACAATGCTCCTATTTTTATCCCCACCAACTACCTTTCCTTTTTTTTTTAATTTATATTTTCAAATTTCAACTTTTTCCCATAATTGCCCTTCTATCTCGATCCCCTTATTAACGCTCCTCCCGTAAATCTCTTTCATTTTTTTTAAAAAAATCTTCATTTATTCTAATTTTAAAATTTAAAATTTTCATTATTAATAGTATAATTTAAATGTTAAATTCCTATTATATATATATATATATATATATATCATAACATCCCTCCCAAATTCTTATTGTTTTTTCTCTTATATATTTTCCCCATTTTATAACTTCCAATTCGTTTAACCAAAAAAAAAACTTAATATTCAAATTTTAAACTTTTTTCATGATAACATCTCGTTATCATAATCATAACTTCCCTTATCTTAGATCCTTTATCTTTGGTTTTAAATTCTTCCTTTGTTAATTCGTTTCCCAATATATAATTTTAAATTCTAATTTTTTTTGTAAATAATACATTTAAAAGTAAAAAAAAAATTATTGACAACTTCAATTACTATATTTGTGGTATAAATGGGCAGTTACACCAATTTTATCTTAACTCACTCGTCATCTCATCATTATCCCTTCCAGTGAGAAGGCACACTTCCATGAAGTTATTTCAAATTATTCATATTTCATTTTAATTTAAATAGATAATTTTAATTTTTTTTACAACTACCTCCCATTATCATAATTTCTCGTCTTTATCATTTTTTAATAAAAAATGGCTCGAACTATTATTATTAAAATATGATGGGAAAAAATGAACAGAATACAAGCAATTTGAAAGCAAATGAAAACTGGCGGGTCGTACCTTCTTTCTTTCTTGATTATTGTTGCTTTTGAAGCTGATGACATACCTTAACCTTCATTCATCCTCAATAATATATTGGGATAAAATGACAAAATTTATTTATACACAAAACCAAAAAAAAAAATGTTCGGTAGAAAAGAAAGAAATAACAAATATAAAAGATTAAAAACATTCTTAAAAAAAAAAAAGACTGACAAAAATGAAACGATCTCTGATCCACAACTTCAGACTTAGGTTTGTTTCTCATCATCCTTCGTCTCCTTCTTCGTCTCCCTAGGAAGGTTTGGATCTATAGGCATAATATTTGGTGAAGTAAGATCCACAACTTTATCTTTGTAAATGTTTTCCCAGAACGAACCTCTCGCAGGACTTTCATCCATATCATTGCAAGGAACAGGTGGCGCTTTGACTCTAAACGGCACCGAAACTCCAAGTTTTCTGAAATCCGATGAGAATTGTCTTGAAGCGATGACCATGAAGTTCGGAATTAGGGTTTGCTTGCGCAGGGATGAGGCAAAGAAGGAAGAGATTGAATGAGCCATCGCTGCTTTTTGTGGATTTTGAATGCAAATTTAGTATCGTCCCGTGTATATAGACGCGCAGAGAAAGGGAATGCCTTGTATTACTTTATCACATCACATCTATTTTTAGCAGCATCCATATCATATCACATCTAATTTAAATGCCAAACGAAGTTAATATAGTAAACATAAAATAAAAATTAGTATAAATATTATAAGAAGTTTCGAAACAACAATTAAGAAAAGTATTATATCTATCTTTGATGTACTATTATTTATAATTTTATTTGATTTCATAACTGCCCCTCTTATCTATCATAACTTTATCTATCATAAATCTCTTTATGATTTTTTTTGAAAAAATATTCATAATTTTTATTTTATTTTTCAGGTACGAATTTTAATTTTTTTAATTTCATTATTAAAAAAAATTTATAATATTAAATTAAAATTATTATATATATATATTATGACATCACTCTATCCAAAATCTTTATTATTTTTCTTGTATCATAACTTTCGGCTTCTCATAATTTTTCTTATCCTAAATTCCTTTATCATTTATTTTAAATTCTTCATGCCTTATTTTTCAATATTAAATTTAAATTCTTAATTTTTTAAAAAAATTAAAAATAGAAATTTTTTTTTTAAAAAAATGGTGAACACATTTCTAGCCACCGTTACATTATATTTTTTTCTTAAAATTTTTAGTGAAGTAAAGTGAACAATAAATAAATACTAAAATAGTGGAGACAATATCTAGATCCGAAATCAACAACAATTAATGTTAAAATTTTTCATTTAACAATTTAAATGCAAAAAAAAAAACTATAGATTTGAAAAATCAAAAAAGCATTCTCATGATGAGATCAAACTAGTACCACACAAATATGAAATATTATAGATCTGAAACCAAAAATTATAAATAGTAGCCACAAATTTGGAACACTAGCCTTTTATTTAACAATATAATCAGGGATAATCACAAGATAGAATAGGGGGAGAGTGACTCTGGGAAGATTGGGTATCACACAGACTAGAAGACGATGGCATACGACGTCGTGCGTGCACATAGAACGGAGAAGAAGGGACATACATTGCACTGTAAACTATGACGGGAGTTGATTGTGTGAATTTTGAAGATAAAAATAAAGATTCAAAGTCTGCAATAAGAGAGATGCTTTTGGGGTAAGAGAGAAAGTTGAGTGTGAAGTGGAGAAGTGAAGTTGCTTGAGAGAAAGGGAGAGGGTTGAGCGTCGAAGTGTAGGGAACGGATTTCAATATGAAAAATGACAATGAAAAAAGAACGAGTAAGCATGTCATTGCATTTTTTTAAAAAAAAATTAATGGTTTAAATATAATAATATTATCAATTAATGTGTTATGTAACATATATTTTTCTAAAAAATTTTAGAGTCACAAAACTAAATAATGATTCTTTCTAAACAATCATTATATGGTCAGTGATTATATAATCTCTAAAAACTAACGTTAAATAATTGTTAAAAAATATTAAAAAAAGAGATTATAATCTCAAGACTATATATAATAATTATTTTAAAAAACTACTATATAATTTCTTTTCCTAAATCCAGTTTTAACTATGTAGTGTGATTTTTCAGTAACATTTTTTTTAGCTGTGATATATGATCAAAGCTTCTGGATTCATAGCATTATCAAACCTGTCTCCAGTTTCTTCTCTCTCAATGTTAATGGTTTGAACACTTGGACATAGAGCCAGGAAAACAGTGGGCTAGCTTGTTTAAACTCATATAATAATAAGACTGGGCTTGTAAATTAGATATTAAAATAATAAATTGGGTTTAAATGAGTTGGCCCATTTAAGCCACATATACATTTTTATTTTATTTTCATAACTTTAACTCTTTTTAAATTTTTTAAAAAAATTTAAACTGAATCTTACTCCACATCATATTTAAACCCATATTTGTTCAAGGAGGACAAAAAAAAAACCTTAAATCTCCAAATTCATCTAGATCTCTCAATCACATATTTTAATCCATTAATCTCATCTGATTTGAATTGGATGTCTGTTAGCTTAGTTGATTCATTGCTTGGTACCTTGTTGTCATTTTATTTATATTTTTAGGTCATTTAGATGTTGTTTATTTTCTTGATTGGGTATTATATTGGAATGAAATAATTTTTTATTAGATAAAAAATTTTAAAAAAATAAAAATAGTTAAAAGGGCCTGAAACCCTTAAGGCCGGCTTTGAACCTGCTATATTGAAAGCCGAGCTTCACATTTTAAGATCATAAAAAGAACTCAAGTTTAAACGGGTTGACCTTTTTAGGCTCAAGCTCGTTAAAGGTTAGCCTTCTTTTCCTAGCTCTAAGGATTATTATCCTCAACATTATTAACAACCTTTCCTAAGAGAAAATGTAATTCATATATTTACTTTTCAATTTAAATTTTAAAAAAATCTTATATAGTTAAGTTATTTATTTTCAATTAAATTAAAATATATAAATTTTTATTTTATAATAAATTTTAATTATTAATATTATAAATACGTTAAGATTCGCTTGTTTTAATTTAACTGAATAAAAATGTATTAAACCTATTATTATTATTATTATTATTATTATTATTATTTTTTGGCTTCGACCGCATCATGCTTGTTTTACGGAAACAAGAAAGTTCAGAGCAATTTGTTCTTAAGATATGGCAATCTAGCTACCCCATCACCAGAACCAAGGAAAAACAAAGTATACATGATTCAAAGCTTGGAGAATTCATAAATATGCTTCCCTACACTATTATTTGAGGCCCTTCTGGGGTCGGAGGCGGCGAAATATCCGGCGGGATCGAAGGTGGTGGGATGATCTTCGGTCCCTGCGGCCGTGGCGGGACAACATCAGGCGGCTGCGGCGGCACAACTTCAGGCTTGGGAATAGGGAATTCAGGCCCCGGCGGCGACAGCGGAGGCTTCGGACCCTCTAGTTTCGGTGTCGGATTCGGATCACTTGGCACCGGATTCGTCGGAGGAGGATCCGCAATTATCTCGGGCGGAACTCCGGGATCAGTTTCTGCCGGATCCTGGCTCGGACCGACCGGCATCTCTTTGGGAAAACGCGGAGGCTCAATTCTAGGCACGGAAGGAATCTTCGCCGGTGACCCGCCTGGGAGAGACAGTGCCACCGGTGAAGGCAGTGGCTTTGTAGGCAGATTGGAGAAGGAGGATGGAGATTTTGCAGTGACGAGGAAGGAGTTTGGGGTTACGATTCGCTTGAGAATAAAGGAAGAGGAAAAGATGAAGAAATTGAAGCCATTATTGTTGCTTTTTGTGGTTAGAAGAGAAGTTTAGGATCAGAAATGAGCACCTGCTTTATGCCTGTGTGTATATATGAAGAGTGATCTGCAAAAATATAAAGAGTGAGTAGAAAGAATCAGATTAAAGAAGAAACAAGAGAAGAGAGATAGGGAGAATACATGCAAGGCAAGAGGAGGGTCCAACTCAGAAAAAGTGTTTCCGATCTTAATGCTTTGTTTTACACGTAGCATTCTTGCATGTTGTTGTTGTTATTTGAATTAGAGGTGCAGGCATTAACGGCTGATGTTAAAGGCGAGACTCAACTCGTGAGCTCTCACTTACAAGAAAGTTTCTATGCCACTAGATTACAAGTCCATTAGCTGCATGTTACCTTTTTTTTATATTATTTATTGCTGTTATCATTATATAGTTATATTAGACCATGTTTGGTATGCAATATTAGTAGATAAGGATTAAGATTGAGTTAGAATAATATCACCTTTAATATGTTTGGCATAAAACATTCACCAATAATTGGGATTGCTTAATCCCACTTAAGTGGGAATATTGAAACCCACCACCCTTATAGTATTGCAAAATTAATCTTGAGATTGGAATTTTTATGATCAAAATGCTGTCCTAAAAAAATATGAAATCTGACTTTGTTCCCTTCCTCTTCACCTCATTGCATGTTCACCATGATGACTCTGGTGACAACTTCCCCCCTCACTGGCGACTTCCTCCCGTGCCAGCAACAACTTTGACAAAAGCAATAACAAACAAGCAATGAACTGACAAAGATCTGCTGCAACAATCGACCTTGACGCAAGCAAGAACAAAAGTAGAGACGGCGAGATCGAAATCAAAATATGCTTTTCTTGTTCTAGATTTGGTGATGGGTGAGATTGATTCAAATGTCAACTGAAAAATCAAAGTTGAAGGAGGAGAGGCATTAAAATCATACATGGATTGCTCCAGAGGCATTACAATAATGGGTTGTTCGCCATGGATCTCGTTTGCATTTCTTGTTCTATGTATTGTTCCAGATCTTGTTCCAAAGGCATTAAAATAATCACATGGGTTGTTTCATTTTATATGGGGAGGCATTAAAATCCTATAGTTCATGCTTTTAACGAGGAAAAAAGAGCATATGAAAGAGGGAAATTAAAGGAGGAAGAGGAGGATGAGATGCGTGTGGCTCACAATGACCGGCAAGGGAGAATGGAGGGAACGAAGGAAGGAAATAAGAGTAATTGTGTCTTTTAGCTCTTTTTTTTTTTTAATCTAATCTGAGTCTTATTTTTTTTTAATCCTATCACATACCAAATATAATTTTAAAACTCATTCTCACTTCCAATTCCATTATCAATTCCTTAAAAATTCAATACCTTATACCAAATAGGGCAGTCAACTGTTGCATAATAGGCCAATAATAGGAAGATGATGGTAATTTAGGGGATGAGTAGTATTATTTACTCTCTCTAGTCAAGACAAAAATAGAAGTTAAACAGTAGTTTTAATAACCATAAATGTTGATTTCTTGCCTAAATAACTTGAACTGGATGACTTATTTGGCAGCAAATCTTCTTGTTCCTATTCCATGGTTAGCAAAGTAATAATTCTGTTTGTCCTTTGCTTGGTATGTCATGAGAAAGAATTTGTTGAGATTTGTTCGTGTCAGGGAGTTCGCACCAGAAGCTCAGTTTCGTGATCTGGGTCGTTTGTTCATATTACCCAATATCATCTGCAAGTAACAAGGTTACATACTTATATACTAGTATTGTTAATCGATTAATAAACAATAATACTGTTAAAAGTTTGCTTGTCCTCGCAGTATCTTACAAAAATTAACCACGTAATTGGCATGCATATTTTTACCTTCGTATGGTTTAGTTGAGAGTTAGGTAAAGTAGCAGCTTGCCTTCATTGAATATGGGTATTATCAGCTACTTGTTTGCCAATTATATCGATTTGAATTTTCTGAGAAATGTGCACCAAATTCCTTTTGGGTATTGTTATTATTTCTCCTTTAAAATTCATTACAAGAGATTAAACAAGAGAAGAGGGAGTCAAAGAATAACGTTCATTTCCCCATTTTGTTTCATTCTTGGACCTTCATCCCTGCAACCGGTGGCAAAATCTTTTAGGTCACGTTTGCTTACTAGAATAAAATGAAATAGAATGAAAAAAAAAAGTCAAAAGCTAAGTGTTAGCTTCATCCCTTCATGTTCTCTCTGATTCTTCATGAACAATCACACTGCTTTGGATCCCGGCTTTATCTTTGCTACTCCAGCAAATCTAAACAAAAACATGGACCCTCCTATTTCAAAAGAAGAAGCTGATTTACTAAACAAGAATGCCACAAAACGAGACGAAGAAATGGCGGATAAAGGACAAGAACTTGCTCAAACTACTTTGATTCCAAATCAGCTTATGGACGGTCATGCAACAAGTAAAGAAACAGTACTTATCAGTGTCCAACTAATGGAAATACAATCTGGAAAAGATCAAGAGCAGGAAGCTTATACAAACAAAGTTCACATGAACCAAGAAATTAAAGCCTTCAAAGCTCCTATATCATACAAAGACTCACTTATTGGTTACAATAGATGTTATGGGATCAACGAAGCTAGAGACACCAACTACATAAATGAAACTCTTGCTAAGGAATTGGATAAAGAATGGAATCCATCTGAAACTACAAAAAAGCTAATGGAGAGATTTCCTATGGTGCCAATCTCAGATCTTGAATGGAAGAATATCTGTATACCTTGGATAAATGCTTTGGTTATCAACACACTTGGTATACAATTACATCCAAGATCACTTAAACCCAAGCTAGCAAAGATGTGGAATTTAAAAGACTTTGAATTGATTGATTTAGTTAATAACTACTACATTGTTCGCACAAAAAATACTTAAGCTTATGAGAGAATTCTCAACGGTGGACCATGGACTATTTTTGATCACTGCATTTTGGTCCAATGATGGACTCCTTAGTTTAATCCAAACACCAAATCCTTGGGCAAAGTGGCTCTATGGGTTCGATTATTAAATATCCTAATCCAGTGTTATGACAAGCAAATTTTATGGAGAATGGGAAATTGCATCAGCAAAACTCTAAAAGTTGACACTAATACTATTGCAAAAGCCGAGATTAAAGATTCAACGGGCAAAATGGAAAGGGGAAAATTTGCTAGAATTAGTGTGAAAATTGATCTATAGAAAAAACTTGTCCCAAGAATACTCAGCAAAGATACTCTCTATAATGTTGAGTATGAAAGCCTAGACCTTATTTGCTTCGGTTATGGCTGTTATGGGCATAACAAGAACAATTGCCCTTTTAACCCAAAGAATACACAAACAGTCGTACTAGATTTAAACCATTCAAAGAAGCAAATGGAGGAGTAGGGAAATTCAAATGCTCATGTGAATATGACCAGACAAAAATCATCAAAAAATTCTAAACAAACTTTATCGGTAGATGATTGTGGTGAATGGATGAAGGTCTAACGACCAAATTGAGCTTGATTTATGAAGTATGCAACGGATAGTAGAATCGATCAGAATTCTCGCACCCTTTACCTAAACTGAGGTATGACCGTCTCCATCAAATCCAAATTTGATATTCTGGCTAATCTAGATCAAACCACAGATAGTGACGACAGATATGGGAAGACCAGCTCTCACAATGTTGCACCTACTAATCCCTTTACGGCAAAGGTTGTCAAATAGGTATGGAGGAGAAAAGATCTGTCAAGAAGAGATCTTGATTGACCAAAAATGATGAACCTACTGGTAATGAAATACTTGAAGAGGAGGACCTATGTTCAGAAAAGGGAAAAAAGAAGGTCCAAATGGACGGACCACTATTTTGCTAGGATAGGCCCCATAAGATGAATGAAGACCTTATTATCTATAAGGAAGCAAGGCCCAATAACATGGCCTCTAAACCTAATAAATGAATTCACTCGATTGTCAAAGGTGACAAAAGGGACTTGGGCTCAAATAAGCAGATTCTGATTGAAAATAATCAAACGAAGCCCATCTATGGTAAGAATAATGCATATTATTATGCACCTAATCTAAATGTATGGAACGAATTTCATGCTGCATATAAAAATGATGCTACTGCTCCAAATATTGACCAGAATAAGACCCCAAACCCAAGAAATTCATCAAGTCACGTCTCAAAAACACAATTCCACAATGATGATGGTATGGAAATTAATGATTAGACTATTGCTTTAGGGAAATATGCAGACATAATAGAGATGAATTTCATTAAGGATGATGCTGAAGATGACCTCCTATCAGAAGATTATGAGCATTCTCTAATTGATAACGAACTAGAAGATGATGAGTTCAGTGATGACTCAATCTCTGAATCTAACACCTAATATTTGTAGGTTCTTTCTTTCCTTCTTTAATTTTTTAATTATGAATATAATCTATTGGAATTGCAGGGGAGCTTACGTTAAAAGTTTTCCTTCTAAAATTAGAGATATTATTAACATTTATAGCATTCAAATTCTCATTCTTCTTGAGACTAAAGCTAGTGGTACTAGAGCTGATAAAATTGTCAGGAAGCTTGGTTTCTTTAATAGATTCGCATTGAAGCAATTGGTTATGTCGGGGGTATCTGGATGCTTTGGAATAATGATGTGGTGAATATTGACTATATTTACTCTAATGTCTAACTTCTTCATTGCAAAGTTAATCACCTCTCAAAGAAGACCCCTTACCTTCTTTCTTGTGTTTATGGTGACCATAACTCTTGCAACCATGATCAATTATGAAATTCCATAATCAATCTTACCAGTACCATCTCTAAACCTTAGCTCATTTTTGGGGATTTTAACTCTTACCTTTCCTGTGATGACAAGAGTAAGAGAAATGGTTATAACTAGAGATCTATGAAACAATTTAGACATTGTATTAACTCCTCCAATCTCATTGAACTAAATTTTGTTGGGAAAGATTCGCCTAAGAGAAAGGCAACATTAAGGAAAGACTTGATTTGTCTTTTTACAACATTGAATGGAGACTTAAATTTAACCAAACGAATTTCTTTCATCTCCTTAAATATGGCTCTGACCATCGCTCAGTCAGAATCCAACTTGAGAATACTGAGAATTCTAGATCTTAAAATAAACCTTTTAAAAGTCATGCTTCGTGGATGGTAGAAGAATCTTTTTAGAATGTTGTTAAAGACTCTTGGGCTAGTAATGAATGGAAACAAG